AATATGAAATGGGTAGGGTGTTAGAGATGAAATCTCATGTGTAACACATACCTAGTGTTGTTAGAATATGGAAATGGGTATAAGAATATGTTTAAACCAATCCTTTTATGATTCAGTTATATAAAATTGTTTGGTTATGAATCTTAAGAAGAAAGTGATGTTTTGGGCATGCAATGTGCTTACATAATCTTTGTGCCTTATAGGTGTTTGATAAAATGTCTATGGTTGATTAAGTGTGTTATTTGTACTGGAAATGCTATGACATGCTTAGTGGCTCATGAAATGTTAGTATATGCTTTATGATATATTAACATTTGAAGAATTGGAAATAATTTTGGAAATTGAATATGTTCATAATATGCTCATGATAAAATGAACATGACATTGTACATTATATTTGCATATGCACGGGTAGCATCGCATTTATGGGCATTCGAATGAGTGTGAATGTGAGTGTGTGTGCATATTTTTGATCAAAAACCATCCTTAGTGGGTTGATGCATGGGCTCGGGAAGGTCAAACCTAGGTTCGACTGAGTTGCACAGGTTTGCATTGAAAAGAAATGTGTAGGGGTTAGCAAAAAGGGCTAGATTCTCCCTTGGCTGCAAGATCCCATAATTTCGAATACGCACTATCATTGGTATAAAGTCCATAAAGTAAGTCGACGTAAGCAGAGCTGTTGGTGAAAGTCCATAAATGTCATGTCGATTGGGTACCTGTTGGTGGAAGTCCATAAATACCCACCCCAAGAAAGACATAAGATTTTTATAAAATAGTCATTGGATGTCTAACATCAATGTCGGGGACTTGGAATGCCCAGATGCATACGCATGACATGACATGTATTATGGAAGTCGGTGGAGGGCTTGGGGTTGCATTGCATCCGTGAGCTTTCATCTCAAGGCATGACATGGATTAGTAGCATTCATTTATGGAATGAATTTATTTAAATGGATGCTTGGATTGTTGAATTGCATGTGACATTTCATATGCATCTGGGTTAGGAAGTAGTCTCCTTAGGAAATACCCTATTGAGCGTAGCTCACCTTTTATGAGAACAAATTTAAAGTGTCGGACAAATGCCGGTAGATGACCCTTACCCGGATCCTTGTTGATGACGAAGTCGAAATGTGGTTTTTAAATTGTAATTTTGTAATAGATTATGTAATTTGGTTTTGAACTTGTAGTTTTGGTAAAAAGGATAAGTAAAGAACTCTTTCGGACCATATTTTGATGTAAATGAATGTTGTATGAGTTTGGATGTATATGGAATGAGACTGGATGGTTAAAAGCTGAGAATTGGACAAATTTGGAAAAAAAATCTAGGCTCAAGTATCGGTACCTAGGCTCATAGGTACCGATACCTAGGCTCATAGGTACCGGTACCACACTGTCAGATAACCCAAGTATCGTTACCTAGGCTTACAGGTACTAGTACTTGGAGCCCATTACCACGCTTTCAGATAACCCAAGTATTGTTACCTAGGCTTACAGGTACTAGTACTTGGATTCCAATGGGCTCAGGTACCGATACAAAGGCTTCAGACCGGTATTCCGATGGACAATGGGCTCAAGTACCGATATCAAGACATATAGATACCGGTACCTAGTAAACAGTGGGCTCAGGTACCGGTACCAAGTTACATAGGTCTTGGTGCTTGGCAAACAGATGGTACCACAAGTACTGGTACCTCTTCCCAAAATTTGAAATTTTAAAATGTAACACTAAGAGACATTCACTTTTTAACGACCTGCCAAGGATGATGTAAATGGATAATAATAAGTCCTAATTATGGACCTTGAAATGGTCATGTAGTTGACATATATACAGGTTATGGGTTGAGTAGTGCTTCAATACAAAGGAGATTCTACCAAAACTCTATTTGGTTATAACCCCAGTGAAAGGGAAGTAATGACGTGGTGTCAGGTTACACAGCACTCACAGGTACTTCTGCGGATTGATTGGTGATCAATGGGTTGAAAAAGAACCCCCAGATTTTAGGGCATCACATCTTCATTCTTTTTCCTTTTTGGCCCAAAATCTTGGATTTTTGTTGGTCTCTTCAAAATGGTCATTTCTTTCTTTCCCAACTTGGATTTCACCTCTTGCTTCCTTCTTTACCTGTGAAGTAGAGTCTCTTGTTCTATTGGCATTTCAGCCCAGATGCCTGTGAAGTAGAGTATTACTACTAAGATGCCTGTGAAGTTAGGCATCTTCTCTAACTTATCATAGCCAAACTTCGTATTTTTCTCCCTTTCAATTGTCGTCTGATGTGCGGAAAGAGAAATTTGCATGAACTTAGTAGTAATACTAAGTCCGTCCTTCTTTTACATCGGACCATCAACAACGAAAATTTTCCCTTTATCTGCTTGGGGCAGTTGAAGAGTAGAAGTTGGAGAGTCAATCATGAGCGGCTCCATTTGTTTCTTTTTTGACATGTTATTGAGCGAGGTTAGTACCAAAGTGTAAAAGGTTTAAAGTTGATGAAAACAAAAAAAAGGAAGATAAGGAATTCACCTGAAGCAACATCATCACCATCTAGTTGTCAATTGGCAAAACATAATCTGGCTAGGTACTCATTCGGCTGATAAACAAAAATAAAAGTTGAAGTACTTTGCCACCACTCATCAAAAAAGGAAGAGGTGCCAGGGTGGTTATGAAAATGCTCAAAACGGAAGGCCTCTAAAGCTTGTACATAGACTTGAGAAATTTGCTGAACTATAACATCTACTTTCATTTTGGTCCTTTCTCCAGCCAGTTCATTATGGAAGGATATATATATATATAAGGAATAACGATACATTGAGTCCTGTCAAATTGCCTGGCAACTTGACTGGAGTTGTACCTCTCAAAACTTCAATTCGAGAATTTAGAGGCAAAGGCTGATTCGCCTATATGAAGGTAACGAGGGAGGAGAACACTACCCCCAAAAGACAAATTGCAACTCTGATAGTTCCTCAGAAAAGTAGTCAGTTTCAGAAAACAAAAGCTTAATGCGGGAGGTAGAATACAAACAACCAGAAAAAGGATTAAAGAAAGAAGGATCCGTATGTTAGTTGAGGTTAAACATAACCAAAAGGTAAAAATTAAAATATTATTCAATCAACAAGGGGCTGGTTAACAAAAGCAAATGGGCATAATTGAGAAGTTGGTAATTAGGGTCAGGAATGAAATCGACAGAGCTGACTTCAGGAAACTAAGTATAAAGTCAAGCCTGAAAAAACCGGAAGGGACCACCGCAACTAGCAATGATCCGTTTATCCGCCATTGTAGAGGCCTTTGTACAATGCCCCTAAAACAAAAACAAAAATGCCAAGGCCAATTTCTTTATATTAGCCAAATAAGTGGTTAATCCAATATATTACCTAGTCACTTTGAAACCAGGAACGCAAAAGAACAAAAGGACAGAACCAATACAAGAGAAAAGCAACATGTTCTTCGAAAGAGGGGGAAATAGGTTTGGAAGGAAAGAAACAATTTATTGGATCAGAATATTCCAAACACGTAGGATATTGAGAAAATGACCAACATCACCTTTTATGCAAGCATTTACCTCTATACCCGCGATGACAGTCCAGCAAGATGCACTACGTCGAGAATTAGTAGGGACATCATGTTCATTGGAAGAAATAAAGCATTGCATCACTAGGACCAAAAATAAACGACAACACCAATCAGCCGTCGATTCATATTCAATGAAGTAGCTTAATGTTGACCATTTTGTAAATCCGCAACTGTGTCTCCAATGAGAATAGAAATGTGGTTCCAATCGATCCACCTTTTGTCAAGATTGATCCATGACCACAAGAGATTAGTTCCTTGATCCCAAGATCTCCATTGGAGTTTGGACCGATACAATGTTAGGGTTTTCCCTTCATGAATGAGGGAGTAATAGAAAAAAACCTTCAAAGATATACAATTTGAAGTAAGGGTCAAGGAAAAAAGCCTATACTAGAATTTGAACCAAGAATCAAAACCCTATATTTTACAAACTTTTGAACAGACGGCTTGATATTATAAGGAAATCAAGGGGGGAAAAAAATTCAAAGTAGAGGAAGAGAAAGCTGGTTGTTTATAAGGTGCCATTAATGGAATATAAAGGTTCTTATGAAAAAGAAGAACGATAAAAGAAATAAAAAGTGCCAGAGTGAAAAGTCGCAAACTGAAGTGAGTAAAAAATAAACCGGCAAATGTTTATACATGTAAAGTAACAATTGCGACCGTTCATTTGTCACATGTTCATTTTATTCAAGTTATTAATTTAACCTAAATAAATGAAGACATTGTTTGCACCATATCCTGTGATCATAAAGAATGTACAACAGAAAGATACCAACAAAATCTACAACAAAAATGGCCACGTGGCAAATCTCCAGATAAGGAGGGAAGAAGTAGTCGGTTACTAATTTGCTATTACTAACGGAATTGCATAGTTGGCAACTATGCAATGGAAAGAATAGTTTAGAATAAATGTAAGACTTGGGCATCATTAGGAATAATTTTTAGAATAGTTTAGAATAAAATTGACTACTGCAATTAAAAACTATTTCTTCGTTATTTTTGTAACTGAAGAACCTTTGCAGTTTAATAAATAGCATTCACTTTTGTGAATCATCCTCTTTGGTGGATCAGCCTCTTTTACTTTAAATCTATCAATTATTTTGATGCAAGGCAATCCCAAAACAAGACGGTTAAACCCCACCCACACGTCACAAAAGATACCGCCCCTCGATTGCGCGAGATTTGGAGCAACAAATATCCTCCATAACATGGCAACCAAAAGAGTCCTAAATGTTTATCTAAAGGAAACAGAATTTCGTAAATAGAAGAAAACTGAAAATAATTCATCTTGAATCTTCAGGAACTAAACAAATTTTTGTAGCGATAAACATCTAGATGTTGAACCCGCCAGAACAAAAATTACATGCGAAAAACTCGCATAATCTCATAATTCAAACGTAAAACACGTAAAGTGAACATAATAAAGGCAACTTCAAAAGCCCACTCTTGCCGTTCCTATTCATCACCAAATGTTGTCTTCTTCCCTGCAGTCAGAACACAAATAAAATCATTGGAGAAATTATGTAAAGTGTAACGAAAGAGCTAATCAATGCTGTCTCATGTTTGACACCAAAGCCTACAGCACCAGGTGTCATGGTGGTAAAATCTGCCTACTTGACTATTCTAATAGGAAGACGAAAATTGAGTTAAAAGCTCAAATTAATAATTTAGGACAAACTATTGTGTGAAAAAATGAAAACATGAAAAATAACTAGCCTCATTAAAAGGTGGCAAATTAAAAAAAAAAAAAGAAGAAAAGACATTGAAGAGGCGGACAATAAAAATGTTGAAGCATATATCATTAGCTAAAGCAGTGCGCACTAGGCCTGTTAATTTAAGTCATTTTGCATAAACCCTTGATTGAAGCCTCACATGAGGTAGGAACACAACTCTTCTCAATAGAGGAATCACCAAACTGTACAAAAGATTTTAAATGAATGAGGGTAAGCTATTTAAAATCTAACTTGCATTGACTGAAAAATACAAAAAAAATAAAAAAAGGTAAACATACCTGTCCCAGCAGTAGCTAAGCTAGGTTTGCTGTGTGTTCCACGACCTCTGCCACCACCTCCAAAACGGCCACCACCTCCAAAACGGTCACCACCACCGCGGCCACCTCCACGTCTACCACCAAACCTACCATCACCATCTCTACCACCACTCCTCCCACCACCACCTCTGCCACTACCAGCACTGTCACGATTATCACGTCTCGGCTTTGCCTCTTCCACCATCAAGTAGTTATCTCCAAATTCAGATTCATTGAGTTGTAGAGCTTTCTTGAAACCATTGCTATCCTTAAAATCAATATAAGCTATCCTGCAACCACAAAAGATGTAGAACAATTCATCACTCATCAGCATAATATCATATGGCATTTAAGAACCACAAAACATATTATTAGATTTTATAGACAAGAAAGGGTAAAACAGCCATGATTATACTCATCCGCCAGGTGACGGGAGGAATTTAGTGGGGTCCAATTTAGGTAAAGCAGCCATAAGAAAACACATTTAGATATTATATTTTCCATGCAAACTTTTAACCATTCACGTTCATGCAGAGAATTCCCATGAAAAGTAAAACTAGAGCTAAAAAGTTGTATGATTAACCTTTGAACCAAAACCTGTACTATTGATCTAATACATCACACACAACACAACCAAACTAATTGATACACTTTAAAATCACAGTAAAACAGCTTATAAGGTATAGCATTGGGAAAGTCCCTCAATGTACAGTACAATTTGATTAATACCACAATGGAAGAAATAAATCTTGAAACAATACATCTACTACACCGTTGCTGTGCTGCACACATGAACATCCGGAGTTCAAAATATCATTTGATATTTACACAGGGAAAAAAGTGCATTACGACATAAAACCATACAATACACAATAGCAAAGACAATGAAATCACTAAATATTCAATTTGACAAATATTACCTTCAATGCAAGATTCAAGTCATAAGAGAAGCAAGGAAGAGAGTACAAACCCTTTAACACCACCATCATAATCTTTTGGAATGGACACCCTTGATATCTCTCCACAAGACCCAAAATACTCTTCTAGAGCACCCCTAATCTGAATTTCATGGAAGGTCCAAGTTTAGCACATATATCCAGGAGTAATTCAAAAGAAGGAAAACTAATGCTACAGGGAAATTCTGCTGGCAACGTACCTTGTCCTCACCGTCAGTTTTGTCAAAGCCTCGGACAAAGACTGTTTGCCCCTGAGCTCCCCCTCCCTTTTGGTAGGAGTTACTCTCTCTGCCACAATTAGCAATAATGAAAATCATCAATACACAAAATTGAACTTGTCGAACACAAAAAAACTTCTACAGCAAGAAGAATCAGCATTTGATACCCGCTATGTGGAGTGTAGGAACCCCTTTCCCTGGCAAAATCAAGTCTCACAGTACGACCCAACAAATCTTGACCATTGAATTCGTGAGCCTGCAATATATGTTCAGACTTTGCGTAAAGTAGCAAATTAAACAGTTCAGTACAAGAAACTATAGTCAGGTCCTTATAACAAGAAAAAAGGTTGATTTGAATGGAGCCACTACTGCCTCAAAACCATCCAAATGCACATTGTTATCGACTTTGTCTAGACTACATGTAAATTGGGGGCAACGTTGTCTACAACTCAGCCCCACTATAGGCAGGAGCTTTGTGCATTGAATACCACCAGTGATCAGGTTTGGCTCTTGCAAGAAGCTCCAAATAAGAGCAATAAAATGGAAGTTTATACAAAGATATTGTTTTTATGTTCACTTCATATGGTCTTTAGGATGGATTTGGGGATCCGAATCCACCAATTATCCGGGTGACCTGAAAAACAAGTAATTCGTGTAGTATAACATTTTAACATTCTTCTTTTCTTTGACAATTAGACCGTATGGTATCAAATTATCAATATATTATTTGCAAGTACCACTGCATCACTGGGGGATAAGGTAGCGTCACCAGATTACAATCGGTAAACAAAAGCTTTACAAGATAAGAAAACCCACCAAAAAACTGAGAATGGAAAAAAAAACCAATGACAGACAACAAGGACATCTCATAATATGGGCAGACACCACCATCCAAACAGCTCAGACATTGTGCACAAGAAATCATGTGAAAATCTCAACTAACCACGAACTCTAAAAGGAAAGAGAAGTATACCTTTTGCGCTGCTTTTATTGTAGCAAACTCAACATGACCAAAGCCCTTAAACGCACCATCTGGATTCATTGCGAAACGAATATCAACAACTTCTCCAGCTTCTTTAAAGAAATTCTCCCTGTAGGGTTCAACAATGGTCAGATGAAGATCAACTAGGACAAACTTTTCAGATCTAAGTAGACAATACATACAAATCAGCTCGTTCCACAGAGAAGGAGAGATTCCCAACAAACAGAGTTTTGGAACCTGATGCTTCAACTTGAGGAGTACTAGGGGTCTGAGACTGCAACAAAAGTAATTACAGTCTATTTTACTTTTATGGCCAACAAAGCGTAACAAAATAAGCACTAAAAATTAGATAAAAAATCGACACTTACAGCTTTCTTTGAAGATAAGGAACCCATTTGCTTGGCCCCTACCACTTCTACGCCGAAATCCTATTCCCAAGGAAATTCCAAAAAAGTTAAGTTTGGAGGCAAATACTAAAATCTATAACATAAAATAAGGCTGGCTTCAATAAACCCATTTGACGGTCTCAAATAGACTCATCCAACGGCCACCAACATTCCTCTCAAAACCATTCACATTGCACCATATCTTCAAGCACGAGTTACCTCTAGTTTAAAACTAAACAAGCATAACAATTCACTAAAGTGTACAAAGCTCCGATTTCAAATTTGAAGAACACCCTAAATGTGCATGCCACCTGATATCAACTTCCTCTCTAAGCTTTAAGTAAATGCCCACATTCAGCAGCGTATATAGTGAGATGAAAGAATACATATTCATTTCCATAATGTACAAGTTAATGTATGGCTTAAAAGCCATTACATATATACATGTATCATTATTTGGCAAGAAAGAGACAACCACATGCACATGCAGAACACAAAGGACTATATTGTGTCTATGGAAGATTGGAAGCTCAACTTACAAGTGTGTCCATATCATGATTGCAATCTGCAATATATCATTCATAACTTAATCCTTAATTGTTAGTTATTAAATTCTGTGCCACCCAAAAATTGAATTAGTTCATACTCTTCACGAAGTACACTTTTTATGGGTAACTAAGAAAGATAAAACAGGGACCAAAAACCATCAACTAGAGTCACACCAGGCCACAACTAATATGGAAAACTGCTGTAAAACTCAAGTCAAAACATATTCATCCTCCCATGAGATACTGCAGTAGCATAAATCTCAAATGCATTGTATGAGAATGTGGTCTTCACCTTTTTCTTAGGTGTCTTGGAAGGTTGTTCCTCTTCTTCCTCTGAAGTGTCATCTTCGTCTTCTTCAGAAGTCTCTTCCACAGAACTACTGCTTTTCTTTGAAAGTTGTGTAGGCTGCCACGATTAAGTTCAGTCATAAATAAGATGACCCAAAACCGACTGTGTCAACAGATTTATCAGCCCTCAAATTCAAATTTCTACCACCTTTTTCACCAACTGCATTTTTGAAGGCTCTTCATCAGAACTTTCCTCATCGCTACTGCTCTCATTTTGTGTAGGATTCGCACTTTGTTTTGCAGTGTTGTGTGTACCAGAAGGCTGTGGCATAGTCGCATTAGGTGATCACTTCAAAATATGGAATTGTGATAAATATACAATACATTATAATATACCAGGACTTTTATCTTTTTCTTTTGAGGCTCTTCATTGTCACTATCCTCAGTACTGTCATCGCCGCTGTCTGCCTTCTGTGGTTGCAAAAGGAACCAGAACCAAAAAGTTGGAAACTATGAGAGAGCACAAGGAACCAGAACCAAAAAATATTAAGAATATAACACCACACCTCATCTTCATCAGTGTCACTCTCGTCAGAGCTATCACTAGTTTCCTTTTGGTGGGTGACCCCGGGAACATTTTTCGGAATGGAAGTTGGCAATTTTTTGGCTTGGGGAATTAGCTTTGCAGGTTTTTGCTGAAAAACCATGAACCAATGTATTCGGATGGTAAGTTTTCATGAGTAAGGATACTATCAACATTATACCAAAGTGAGGAAGATCAGAATGAGAAATGAATTCGTAGAAATAGTTTAGTTCTCAAGGACTCACATCTTCCTCGTCAGACGTACTGTCTTCATTGGAACTCTCACTTGTTTCCTCCTTTTTCTTCAGACCAGCATCAGAGCCATTTCTAGCTGAAGTTTTTGAAAATTTCTTCCCTGGGGTAGGTAGTGTTGTTTTTTTCTGCATGTAAAATAAAGTCTTTCTTGAGTAAGCAATGTTCACAAGCACAATGAAAAATCAAACATAATCCAAGGAACCCAAACTCACATCATCATCTGAACTGCTTTCATCTTCTGACTCGGAATCACTTGACTCATCTTTCTTCTTGGAGACTGCTACAGAGCCATTCTTAGCCGCAGTTACTGGTGCCTTGTTTGAAGGAAGTGTTACCTTGATATTTGGTGCCTATTACAAGATGCATTCATACACAAAATTATAGCACAATGCAGTTTACTCATAAAAACTTACACAATAAGCTACCTACAGAAGACGAGTAATATCAGAAGCCACCAAGGATCAAATTTTATATAATAAAACTCACACACTCACTTCTTCCTCCTCAAAGTCGCTCTCATCTGAATCTGAATCTGAATCTAACTTGCCCTTCTTAACAGTGTCATTTTTAGAAGCAGCCACTGGCTGTTTCTTAGGAATCACCACAGCTTTAACAGCAGGCTCCTGCAACAAATTAAAACGGAAAGTTCCGGAGAACATTCTAACCATTGACAGGTGAGGCGGTGATATATGAAGGGAAAAGCATTTCTCACTTCATCAGAAGATGATTCCTCAATACTACATTCTTCTAGGGGTGGCTTTGCCGAAGTCTTCTTAGCTGGTATCTTAACCTGACAATTCATGAAGTACAACCACTTTTTTCATTTAAAAAATTGAGTACATATTATATACTACATTCCCAACAAATCCTTCTAAAACTAACAATAAACTAAAGCATATGAAAGTGATGCACAGAAGCAAAATTACAGAAGTTGTTGCTTTTTTTCAAAGTTCTCCAGTAGTTTGATTAAGTTTTTCTTCCAAAATGATCATCTTTATGATTAGCATATAAAGAAAAACCAATAGTTTTTAGAGTCCTACCTTAATCTGGGTCACAAAAAGAACCTTTTAATCATTTCATACAAAATTAACTCAAGAAACTCACACCGGGCTCAGTATTCAATCATGACACTGAATCCCCGTTAGAAGTAACCAAAAGCAATGGAGCATGTTTTAAACTAAAAATGTACGAGTGCCCCAATTGCCAAAATAGAAAATGGATTTTGGGAATTAAAACTCTAGCCTAAATAACTCACAAAAAGCTACGAAAAAACCATTTAAATGGAGGCAATTTCTACCTCTTTCTTTTGCCTATTGTTAAGACACTTCGCCTCGCTCTTTCGCTTCTCAATATCCTGCACTACCGCTAAATCTTTCTTCTGCTTCTTCGCACTCGTTTGCTTCCCTATCGACTCTTCAGCCTCCCTCTTTCCTATAAACAAACATCAAAAAAAGCCACAGAAACCTAATATTAAAATCTATATAAAAATTAAAAAAAAAAAAAAAAGAAAAAGGAAAAACTACTAAATAAATAAAAGTAATCAGATAAATCAAGGGGTTGAACACTGAAACATCGAAAATAGTGAACCTTTCTTCATGGTTTTTGTCGGTGGTACTACATCTGCAGCTGCATCAACCTATATCACTATCAAACCATCAAAATTCACTCAATACACGCATGCAAGGACACATATTTGTGAAATATAGAGCATACTTTGGTGGCTGATTTCTTGGTAGATTTACCCATTTGAAACACTGAGCTGTCTTGAAGACAGAGTAAGAACTGGTTTTCGGCTGTTTTGTAGGGTTCCGTAGATAGCAGCTGCTTATAAGGGTTTTAGAGACGAGACGGGGAGGTACTCTGTTGCGTAACGGCCCCAAAGATATTTATAGACGAATGTAGACGAGGCACTTATGTTAGGGTTTTTCACGTTCATTTTACAGGAGTGGGCAACAAAACACGCATGGGCTTTAGTACAGTCCTCGTTAGAGACCAGTCAGGCCGAAAGTAAAACTTGTTTACCCGTATCCGGTCCAGCCCAAGTCCTAGTCTTGGGCGGAACTACATGTGGATCAGCGCGGTTTCTGGCTCGCCCTCAAATTTTTCTCTAAAAAATTATGGATAAAATTATATTTCTCAAATGTTGTATCCCAAAAGATAAACTAAAATTCCATACATTGAATTTTTTTTGGAAATTTGTAAACTTCATTGATCGAATCACTGATTTAGAATACAAAAGTTGATAAATGATTTGATAAGTATAACATTACTCAAAAATTATACTTATGATAAAATATCTATCTAGTATTACAGCTAAGAAATTGATGTTTCACTTATAAAAAGTACAAATATTGTTAATATTGATCTAATTTTTATCTAAACGTATCAAATTCATTCCTAATTTTATTTTCCTCTAAAAACATTATCTTCATCTAATATTATAGTTAAGAAATTGAATTCTCAACTTATAAAAGTATAACAACAATTAAGATTAATCTAATTTTTATTTACTTTAATCCGTGTACAAAACTCATGCCAAAAAACAAATTTCTCCTAAAAAAACATCATTTTCTCTACACAAACCCTAAATGTTTGATAACTCAACCAACATTCTCTAATGTCAAACAACCTCACTAATCAACACTTACTTCTCTTATTTTTTTTTCTATTCACTTTAATTTTTTTCAAATAAATTATTATTCAAAATAAAAATATTACACATTCAATGTTCAATTTGTAGTATTGTAAAATTTCTTCAGACGTGAATTATTGCTAGTATTGGTATTATTATGAATTTAAAACATATTTTATTATATCCACCCTATTAATTTTGTATAGCTCATAATAGAATGCTATAAAACATATTATAGGCACGCTATAAACATATTTAGATATATTTTGAACACAGTGGAGGTCATTCATTTTTTAACAAATTACGAGTTCATTTCACTACTGTATAAAAATTAATATTATTTATATAATAAAACAAGAGTGTGTTTGAATTTTATCTCAGTCATATTTTTCTCCTCAAAACCATCATCAATCACCCATCATCCATTTGTCAGACTCAAACGTCAAATCACATCACTCATTTCTATCACATATTTAATTATTTATATATTTCCTCCCTAAAGATATCACACAACTTATTTCTATCATATATTTAATCATTTAATATTTAATTAATTTGTAGTTAATATATTTTAAAAAAACTTAATATAGTGGGAACGATTTTTTGGACGCTTGAATTATATATTTTATCGTGTCTTCAGGCACGGGTTATGACTAGTCTATTTATATAATAAAGGACAAGGCAATTCAAATCCCAAAGATAAAAATAAGTTCAGATCGTTTCTAGATAAATAAAATTTTCATCTGATGGACAATTATAACCCAACATAAAAATTGACTCAAATCATTTCAAAATAGTTGATTTAACAGATAAAATGAATCTTGAATTTTTTTTCCCATCTAAAAGTTTTCATATTTACTTACACCCTTATTCACGCATTCAATCACTCATTGACCGTTAAAAGTGATATTTTATTATATTTAATAAATTTTTAATTACATATTATTTGTGATTAAATGTGTGAGATTCCTTAATTTTCTAATTTAATACTTTTTTCTAGTTACTTAAATGTGTTTTTGCAAGTAATTTGGTTGATTTAAAGAAATAATTGATAAAGCAAGTGAAACAAACACTAGAAGAATGATCACAGTTGATAAGGATTGAATGATCAAAATTAAGATATGAAGATTATGCAGCAATTTAATCATTGTGGAAGTCCAAATTGTTAGAAAACTCATTTAAAGTTGGATTAAAAAAGTATTCTAAAATATAAGGTTTTGACACGTATTTTGTATTTTGGACATAACTTTTTAATTCGACGTTCGATTGACTTATTTTTGCGTCGTTGAAAAAAAAACTTCAAGTGCTACAAAAAGTGTATTTCATGAAAAATTCATGAAACGACCTCTATCTATGTGAAAATTGAGCTTGAAGTTTAGGCAAGTATGGTACCCCGCACCTTCAAGATTTGATGCGCAAGTTTGACCAAAATATACTCCTTTTTTGACAAGGATTTGTTCTAAGCTCAATCCTAGCCTCTCTAGTATAAATATATGTTCTTTCTTTTGAGAGGGTAGAATTCTAGATCCTATCTTCTACATACTTCTTTATTTTTTTCATGTCTATGGATTGCTAAATCTCCAACTAAAGTTAAGGCAGACACTTTCTATAAAGCACGGTATTATTTTTGATCCAATGTTTTTTATTGTTCTTTTGATCACAATTACCTCTTCTCACAAAAATTAATCAATTAATAGTGGGAACTCCTTTTCGACTTCAATGATTCCTTGAACTTATGAAGATTGATGTTGTTAATTTGTCAATTAAATACTCAAACACTCACGTAAATCTTAGCCCAATGACTCAAACTCTTGGTGCACAACTATGGATGATATACATATTCAATCAATCATTCAATCAAAAATATAGTGCGCATGTGTTCTCAAATTATAGGTGTATATGTAAAAATGATAAAAAAAAAAACACACACACAAGCAATTTGTTGGCATGGAAACCCTACTTGAGAAAAACCACGGGGAACCACAATAAGGCTCACCTAAGCCTACTATATTACCCCAAAATCAGCTTACAAGTGCTCGAGTCTTCAGTCAATTAAGCTCTTCTTCTCGAAGATGTGAGGTTGGATGAGATTTATAAGATGGTAGACTTTGGGTTTAAGGATCTAGGGTTGTGGTATGATCTTTAAGATTTAAGAGGCAAAAATTCAGCTCGCAAAAGAGATATCCTAGGTTGGGAAAGATTCTCTCTATTTATAGGTCCAAAATAAGAGAAATCTTAGTCAACAAATAAAACAAATTCATGAATGACCGCTCAAACAGTGGGAGGGCGGTCATAGGCCGATGGTCACTAGAATGAAAAATGAATTTCAAACTGACCTTGGTGAGCAGGACTACTCAAGTGACCTCAGAGGGTAACCCCTATTGTCCTCCATTTAGTCTTTGCCCAATTTTTTCCTTAGTCAAGAAGAAACTGCTCTAGCGAAGGCTACCAAGCATAGGGCAATCCTTACTGATTTTTTAAGCCTAAAACCAAGCAAAAAACTTGTCCTCTTGAATACTAAGGGTATGTTTGCTTTAGACATTAGGAAAGAGGATTAAAAAAAATAGTGTTTTTGTCCACCTTATCTCATTTGTTCCCATGTTTGGTTAGACATTTTGGGCCCAATATTATCAATTATAAATAATCCAGGCTCGAATGAATAGTGCATTTATAACCATGAACACCTTAAATAAACCTACCTATTTGGTGGGTTAAAATAATGCGGTTGGGTAGTATTTGTACAAAAAACATTTTTATCCTTGGCAAACCTAGATATAAATACCAAAAATGGGAATGGATTGGACTAAGTTGGGGTTCTTGGTAATTTTAATAGTTATATCATCATTCAATACTCTATCCAAATAAAGTGTAGTAAGCGATAAGGGTGGGCCCACAAGTTTTAATACTTCAACCAAACAAATGATAAGAGGAAGGAATTTAGTTTTGAATTATTCTCTCTGGATGGATGGATATAGGATGGACAGGATTGTCCAATCTGGTCCTCCCTAATGTCTAAACCTAACACACCCTAAAGGTTGTTGCTTAAGAGGGATCCGATGATTGCTCAATTTTATGTTTTTAAAATACACAAAAGGTTTAGACCACCTACAAGCCATACTCGGATCAAATACCAATTCCATTTTAATACTAATCCTCCTAAGTCTATTAAACTAAGGGATCATCTTAGATCTCTAGGTCATTACCTTGTCCTAAGTAAGAAGTTGCATTTGATGTAGCTTTGATGCATGATCTCCTCCCTTCAAGTAATGTTTTCGGATCTTCATTATTGTAGCATCATAACCATGAAATAGGTTAGGGATTTACAAGATCTCTAAGAAATTAATCAATTATAAAATATGATCTGACAATCTCTCCCTTTGGCTATTTCTTGTCAAAATACATAAGTATGAAATGAAGATTGCAACTCTCAAACCATTAAACAAAACGAATTGTAAACAAATCTCAACACTCATCTCTACATCTCTAATCTCTAAGTACAAGAACCACTAAACCAATAGAACATAATGTATGAACATAATCATAGGTATGGAAATCATCAAGATAAGCATAGGACTTATTCATGTTAACATTATGCAAGTGCAAAAATATAATATATGTAATAACTAACTTGCTCAATATGCTTGAGAACCTATAGATATAGCATGACAATGCAAAACAATTTCTCCCTCTCAGTTGGTGTTCACAATTAAAATAATAAGTGTAAAATAAACAATATAAAATAGGTGACTTCATGCCAAGTTTGTAAATGTACCCCCCTTTGGTATTATAACAAACTCCCCTTTAATTTTCTTACTCACATGCAAATTACAAAAGCTATTCAAGAGAATATCTCCCTAAATTCTCGTATATGTACCCAAAATATTCTTCCCATTTTTGTCACAAAGTGTCAAACCAATGACATATCATAACAATCAAGGCACATAATCAAGTTATCCCAACATATTATTTCCTATTTTTTTACAAAACGTCACTCGAGACAAATCATAGCAAATGAAATAGAATTATGGTATAACAAGAAGGAATAAATACAAATCAACTAGCTAAAATAGGTATGCAAAGCAAGCAAAGGACAAACAAGACATATAACTCAAAGTCAAATAGCAAAGACTAAGATATGTCACAACAAAGGAGAAATAGCAAAACAAATGCAAAAGTCAATAAAAATGAAAAGTGAACACAAAAAAATAGAGTACTTT